ATAATAACAATATTTTATAATAGAAAAGCTCCCAAAGGAATTCTGACAACTGACTTGCTCTTTGCCATATTACCATCTTAACAACATGTGTGAGCAAATAAATACATGAAAATATAAATAGATAAGAATAGTAAAGAAAGAAAAGTATTTACTCCCAAATCAACATCCTAAAAAAATTGATAAGTTACACATAAACATGATCCCGTCAAATCATATATGTCGAAGTGTCATGAAAAGATAATGATAGTCAAGAACTGCATACTAATGGTTTCGAAAAGTAATATGATTTCTAATCTCTATATTAGTAGGGTTATGGCCAGTCGTCTCCTTAAAATATCTCATGAAGTAAAGGGTCATCGGTTCATCTTGAGAAACTATATCTGAATCCAAAAGAGGTTGAATAAAAGAAGAAGAAGAAGGATCGACAACTACGATCGTCATAACAGGAGTACAATAATCCACCAATTCATCCTTTTTAGAAGAATCATTGATACTCTCGTCGGAACAACAACTAGAAGGTTTATCATCGTATTCAATGAAACTAATGTCAGACCAAAAACTATCACTAAACACAATAAGATTATGGTTGGGTAAATTAACCTCTAAAAGGTCAATATTTTAAATATTAGAGTTTTCATTCTATTGAATGATGAAGAATCACCACCATCAGGGTTGTTTATAATATTTGCATGTATATTCTCTACGCTAGCCATTATAGCAACAAAGGAATAAAAAACAAAAAAAATGCAAGAAAGGGGTAAGAAATGGTACCTGAAAAAATGAAGTGAGGAAATAGTTAAAAACAAATAATTTGGAGATAATAGTGAATCAGGGAACGTAGAATCCAAAAAATATGGTGGAATCAAAGGTCACTAGAGCTTAAGGAAGGAAGAAAGAGCTTATTGGGAGACATTTTAGTCTCAGTTTGCAAGAGGGAGCGAAAATAATTTAAAAGACCAAAGTGGTTGATATATAGTAAAGCAAGATGGATGAATCAACAATCAATAATAAAACAAAAATGAAAATATGAAAAGAAATGGTCAAATATCGCCTAATAATGCAACGACAGTTGAGTGCACTCGAGCATCCTATAGAGGTGCATCACACCATATTTTACGAACCTAGGTGTTGGGAGAGTTTTTCATTATGGAGTATAGAACATTGTGAGACTTTCTTTTTAGAGCAACACCTATGTGAGAGACACACCACATATTCACACAAAACTTAAGGTGATAGGTGTAGGTTCTCTCATTTATAAATAGACAAGTCTCCACGTTTTCAACCAATGTGAGGCTATTACCCATACTACTCACACTTGCTACATTCTCAACACTCTCTCAAGTGTGAGTCTACAATGCTTCCCCTCAAGTGAAAAATCTTCTTACTTCCACAAACTCTTTTCCCGCACATAACGTTTCTTACTCACCAACAGAGCGTTTCTTACTCACCTCCTTCGTGCCGTCGTTGACTTTCGATACAAGTAAGTTGTGTGAGGGCAAACCGCCACACATCACACGAGTTTGCAAGACATCACTTGATATAGGTTTCGATGATGACGAATTACAACCATGGATGAATTGGCAACTGTAAATTCCACCTCTACCAAACAAATGCAACATATCACCTACCGTATCCGTTTACACTTGTCTAAAAACTGTTATAGTTAATACAACATGTGTAGATAAAATGTGGTCGTGACAAAATGCATGAAAAACCACAAGAATCTCAGTTTTTGCAGGTTTGCAGGGTATGAGTCGACCATAGGGTCGGCGCATACATCAGTGTGTTTTTCCACTGGTCAGCGCATGAAGGTTTGAGTCGACCGCAGGGTCGGCGCATGAAGAAATTACTCTTCAACGGGTCAGCGCACGCCGACTGTATGGTCGACGCATACTGATACATTTTTCAGATTTTCAAAGGTGCAGGCTATGCGTCGACGCACAGACCTGCTGTGGTCAACCGTTCGCGCGGAAATGCTGTTTTTAAATGACTCCCACTATTATTTGAAAAGCTATTATGTCTTTGGTTGGTCTGGTACTATATATACAAGTCCAACTACTTATGTCAAGCAACATTTGATAAAAACTGATTCACGTGTTCAAGAATAAGAAAGAGTGAAATAGGTGTCCAAGATTCATCATCTTCATCTTCAACATCTCACAACACATCAATTACACACAACCATTTTTGAAGTGCATTGTGAGTGATTAAAGGTGATAAGGTTCGAAGCTTAGATTAGGTAATCTAGTTCGGGTTGAAGCTTGTGACAGGTTCTTTCTTGAATAAAACCGTTAGGGTTTTATCCTCCAAGATTGGTTTGATTTTTGGGGGGTTTTGGACGAGATTCTTCATCAAGGGTCAACTGAGCGAAGGTGATTGTGAAGAGGTGTTCTTCAACAGTCTAGTAGCGGATTCAGTGATATTGAGGGAAAGATCTCAGGTTCGATTCGTTGTAGTTGAGATCAGCCGGGCCGAAGGTTTGAAGAACTAAGGGTTATTCAATAAGGTGACTGGAATCGATGGTCTATCAACAACGAACAGAGGACTTGATTCATCTTGAATCAAGGGGTAAGGAGTGGAAGCAACATTTAACGTCTTGAGAATTTTGTTGTATATTTGTTGTTCAATCCTTATATAAACTGTTACATTCAACAGGTGATATCTATTAAATCTATCTCAATTCTATTTTTAGAATTGAGGGCAGACGTACCCCGAAGCGAGGACGACGGGGGAACTGCCTCACCAAATACTTGTCTTCTCTATTTTTCAGCATTTTCATTTTAGCTTAAAAATAAGTGATTTTTGTATAAGCACCATTGTCAAACTGTGATATTAATTGAGTAAGAGGTTGAAACTCTATTTTTGAATCCAAAGTACAATAAGACATTATACTAGGCTAGTTGGAATCACTTACTAAACATAAATATCACTTGGAGCGTTTTTGCACGCCAAGTGTTCGACAAATTGCCTAAACCAAAATTATCTTATTTGTGTATCTAGTTTTGGTTTGCTCTTTAAATCATTGGAACTAGGAATCGTAACAAGTGAATTAGATCATTGATAAGTGTGATTAGTGTTGTGATTCTCTTTTCCATATTGTCATTAATCCAAAGGCTTAACGCATATCCGGTTTTCCAATAACCGTTCGTTTTAGACTATATTTTCCTCGGCCGCTTCCGCACTTAAAACAATTTTTCAAAACCAATTTTTTAATTGGTAGCGCCGACTCAAATTTTAATTGGGATCTATTCAACCCCCCCTTCTAGATCCGTGCCATAGTCTAACAAGTTGGTCTCTTTCTCGAACTAAAGGCTCGTGATACTATGTATTGGGAAAGTTTATTACTAAGGAATATTGAACATTGTGGGACTTCCTTTTTAGACAACACCTATGTGAGAGACACATCACATATTCACCCAAAACCTTAAAGTGATAGATGTGTGGGTTCTCGCACTTATAAATGTTAAAGTCTCAACATTTCCATCCAATGTGAGACTATTACTCATACTACTCACACTTACTACATTCTCAACACTAGAGTCACATGCGAGGAAATTTCGTAAAACGTCTCAATGATGAGACTATCATTTAATGCACTTGTTCTCCGAATCTCTTCCATTTCCACATAAAGGCTTCCCGTATGCTACACCATGACAAGTCTTTGGGACAATAATTTTGGGCCAACCATAAGACTATACGGTATAAGTCCAATTACCATCCACCACATAAATCACATGTATGTAGTTTAAGGTACGATTTTCACCAGAGATTACTGTACTCCTTTTTGTTCACTCACTGACCTAAATGTTGGAGTGCTAACTTTATAAGCTTACCCTAGCGCAATTGCATCAGAGATCTGCACAACCACATCAAGAATTCAGCTCATTAATTCAGTGATAATTCTGATTAGAAAGAACTTTCAAATAAAAAATCATCAATTTTTAATTCAATTGATAGTTTATTCAAAATTACATTTATGTATGAAACCAAGAACAAAACAACTTGAATTTTAAAATGAAATGATTAAATAGAGAAAATATATATATATATATATATATATATATATATATATATATATATATATATATATATATATATATATATATATATATATATATATATATATATATATATATATATATATATATTTATTTATTTATTTATTTCGAACGTATTTAACACAAATATATTTAGCAAATGTCAAATTCTAAAAAACAAAAAAATTGGCCGTGCAAGTTTGTCACAAAAGGTACAAATACCTTCTAAAATCGAAGGCATCCAATATTTCAATAATATATAACATTGTATTCAAATAAACTTATTGAACAATATAGTTAAGATGAATTATATGTATAATATAATCTCGTACTTCTCATGATTCTGATTCAAAAGTGGAGTAAGAGCTACTAATTCATTTTGGTGAGAGAGCAAGAATGAACCTGAGTACGAATTCCTTATATCGAAAGTCTACGACAATGTAGTCAAAATAATGTGTTTCGTTGACTTGTAATGACATTTCAAATATAGCGATGAGAGAAACTCACATTTAAAAGAAAGATTGTTAAAATTTTACTGAGTGATTCTATCGATTAATAAACTAAATGAAAGAGGTATAAGAGTGATATTCTATATACTCAATATCTTAAAATAAAAGAAATGAGACAATTAAATTAAATATACATGCTTATTAATCAAATTAAATATTACACAAATCAAGAAAACACAGTAATAATGGAGTAGTTTCTAATGGGAAAGTTCCCAAAGGAATTCTGACAGCTGACTTGCTCTTCTGTCATAATACCATCTGGAACAACATGTGTGAGCAAATAAATACATGAAAATACAAACACATAAACACAGTAAGGAAACGGTCCTTACCCCCCAAATCAACAGCCTCAAAGAAATGATAAGCTACACATAAACATGATAAATAAATAAAAAATGGAATATAATTTCAATATTAATAGAGTGTTTTGCATTCTTTTCCTGTGGTTATATAATCAACCAGCCACACCATTGCCAACAGTAATTTCTGCATTTAAGCTGCTTTCCACCTTTGGTGGACCTGAATGCCGCCTTGGTCTGCCAGGCGAAGCCGGGAAAGTAAGCCGCTTCTTTGCATTTCCAATGGACCCTTTATCCGGTGTTCCATTCTCTGCAGCTAATGGACTTTGCAACCTGGATTTAGCTTTTGCAGATTTTGTTGACACCATGTAACTTGGAACTGATGGAGAGCTTGCAAGGCTTTCATCATCCCTCACTATTGATCCAGCAATGGAGTGCCTCCTTTGGACTCGCTCCGACTGCATACTCATCATGCTTTTGGTGTCATCGTCAAGAATAATACTCTCCTTTGGGCTTGCCTTATTCAGTTTCTTACCAACTGCTGGCTTAGGAGGCTTTGAATTGGAATGGAAGTTCGGTGAACCCGGATTTTGGCTGGCTGTCGGAGAATGAGTTTCGGTATTGAGCTGGAAACGAGCAAATGATTTGCTTATTTCAGAACTGGTAATGCTGTAAACTGAACTTTTTAGAGATGGATTGTTGTTTTTCTCTTTTTCTATCGGATTTTGGTTGGCTGCCATCCAACGTTCCAACCAGCTCCATCCCCAAGCAGGATTGGTTGGATCCATAAACATTGGATTTATAGATTTCGATGAATTCCTCCCGTTTTTCTGTCAAATACAAGTATATATTTATCTTAGATCAAATTCTGCCTAATTTGTTCAAAAGATCACGAAACTCAAATAGAAAATTATGTTAACAGAAAAAGTTAACAAGTAAATCAACGAGTTCGCCAGGTATATCTAGCAATCTCACAAAGCAGTTACAGGTCTAAAGAGAAATAGAAAACCTGATGAGTGAATGAATAAGCCATTGCTCTTTCTCTTCTTATAGTAGCCTCGTATTTGCTTAGTAATTTGGCTTCAACTTGTTCTCTTGATTGTATACTTTCATCCCATTCCTCCCCAATCTGTTATGAGAATTCGAAACAAGTTAAAAGCATTCCATAATCCATAAGCTAAAATTCAAATACACATTATATCTATGTGTCAATATAGAGAATTTGATACTTCAGAGACCTGTATGCTCTCTAGCTCCTTTGTGTGCTTCTGTAAGAGCTGTTTTTGCAGAGCTTGGGTTTCCTCTAACATCCTGATCCGCCTCGATCGAATCTCGGATTGCACATGAGCTAAAGTCTGCATAGAGCGAAGGGTACTAATGGCTTGACGTTTTACCACTGGCCCTTCCATTAGCGATCTCAACCTGAACAGCCCCCTTAAAGCCCGCAATGCTCTTCTGGCCTGAAAGATAGCTTGAAAATAGTAACTTGAGAGACTGTTTGACAAAGTTTATGGAAACAATTTCTGACACATCCATAAGTGATTTTCAGCTTATTTCCGTAAGCTCTCCAAGATAGTTTATAAAAACAACTTATGCTTATGTAGAAATAATCTGAGATTAACTTATACATCAGCACTATATGATATGATAAGTGTTTATGTTGTTTATCAAAACAGAGGCTAATTTATGTATATATATACATAGAATTTACAAGATAAATACCAAGTATCCCCGAAAAGTGGTTTGAATCTTGGTTGCCGCAACTTCGTCATTTGGTACACCGACAATCCGAACAATTGGAGTGACTTGAACTTGAACCTCAGCAGTTTCTGTCATAACATCATGAACAGCTATATCATCATCCACGCCTGTTACATCTTCAACACGATCATGAATATTTTCATTCTCAACATGAGTTAAAATATTCTCCTCCTCAGGTTGAGGAAAATGAGGTGCTTGATCAGTTTCTGGATATGATTCTGAAGTGGTTAATTTTTTCTTCCCAAACCATTTCTTCTTTGATCCACTTGAATTCTGCAAAATAAGTTACAACTCAAATTTTTCAATTGTTCATATAAATTTTAAGTCATTTTCATAACCTAATTTTCAGAGAACTTACGAAAATAAGTTGTTTCCATAAATTATCTGGAACATGCGTCTATATAGTAGTTGACAAAATGAAATAATTCAATTGAAATTTAAACCTGTTGTTTGTTTTCCTTTGAGACAGGACTAAGAGCTTTTTTCACATTGGAAAACCAATTTGGCTTCTTTCCCATTTTGTTTGCATAAATTCCTCACTCAATTCTTTGACCCTTAATTATAATGAAAACATCATAGACCAAAACAGTACTAATAAGTTGAAGATTCCAAAACAGTGGAGAAAAAGGGAAAAAAAGGGAAAATGGAAGTACCTGAAGTGAAAGGAAAGGGAGAGATCTAAAAAAGAAGAGAAGTTGTGTGTAATGTAAAGGAGGGAAATGCAATGCGATTAGATCTTGGGAAGCGACAAAGAGGTTTCTATTCGGTTAGAGTTTTTTATTCTATCATTATGAATGATAAGAGGAGAGAGAAAGAGAAAGAGGGACCAGCTAGCTAGGTGGTTAGTCGTGGTTGATGTGGGACCCATTTAATAATCACGAGCAAAGCGGTTGTTGTTAACGGTAGTATGTGTGTGTGCAATGTTGGTCCCACTCACGGCGGTGGTTGGTGATAGTTGCTATTTGCATTTGTTTTATATGTTTTCTTGTTGCTACTCTATTCTCTCTTTGCTACTGCTTACCATGTCTCACTTCTTTTGATGAATAGATATGTTGTTTGGACACATGTTTTGTTTATCTAGACACTTTATAGTTTATAACATGGACCATGAGTTGCTGCATTGCATTGAGTGTGGATATAACCACTAAGGAGAGTCAACACCCCATGGAAGAAAATAATTTGAAACGTCTTTAGGTTTGTGTAAAAAAAATTATTTATCATTACTACATAAGTACCCGGTAGCCAAAAAAAAACTATTTATCATTATTATATAAGTATCGGTAGCAAAAATGACTGCGTGTGTTAAACCAGTCTATTTAAATCATTGTTTCAGTCGGTTTTGTTTACATGTACTACATGTTTATAGTTATTATTCTGTTATAAAATTGCAGTTGGTTGATGACGATTAGTTGTTGGGATGAAGTTGAGCTTCTAATATAGTCGTGAGGAGATTGACATGTAAGTTGAACACACAAGAAAGTGAGAGAATGAAAAGTATTGTGAGAGTGAAAATGTATTTGAATCATACATTTTTCTATATGTGGTATTCCTTATGTATGAGAGTTGGATATGGTGCTCCGAACCTAGATCAAATGCGAGTCTTCTTTTATCGAGTTTTTGGCCGACTCAAAATAGTTGTTTTCAAGGCTTCACGTGGTGTAATAGTGATAAGCCTTTTAAAGAACTGGGTTAGGCAGTTAATGTGAATAACCTAGAAAACATGTACATTAAATGTTAGTCATATAATTGAGACATTTCACAGGATTTCATGGACATGTGGCCCTAGGTCTTTAGGTTTGAGCATAGCGTCTCTTCATAGGATACTTAGGTGCACTCAAGCATGTCGTTGTATTTTTAAGGCAAATCTTAATCGTTGTTTTTTGTCTTTACGTTTTCTTTCATTTTGAATTATTGATTTAATCATATTGTTGTACTACAACGACCTTAATTATAAGCAATAAAAAGAACTTTCACACTTATTAAATGAGAGTTAAGTGTATTTAATTTTTTTGATATTATGTAAAAAATAACATAATTATTAATTTACCCTTAGTTAAATAATCATCCACTAACAATATTAAGTCATTACTATTGGTATAGTTTTGGAAAAAATATTAAATGTGTATAGATTTGTTGATATTTGCTTATATTTAAAGTAAATAAATTTAGAAGACTTTTGTTTATAAATAAGACAAGAGTGAGTACTATATAAAGGTTATTTGATCTTTTAAACAAATTTTTGCTCTTTGTTCAAACTGAGACTTTCCTTTTTTTCGTCGAAAATTACGGTCTTTGTCTCTAAGCTTCGGCAACCCTTAGTTTCATCACCCTTTGCCTCAGTTTGGGTTATTCGTTTCATTACTCATCTTTATCTCCAAGTTTCTTTTGCTTCCAAACGTTTCTTCCTTTCAACTCTTTTCTCAAGTATCATTTATAGCCTCATACTTATATTTTGTTGCTTTCATTTTTATGTCGTTGCCATGCTCAACCTAGAAAATATACCTACAAAAATTCTGGTAGCAGATCTCAGATGTCCTGAGAGATGTCGAGCCACTTGATCTCTGCTTCAAACACAATGACAATAAAGAACAAAGTACAAATAGAAGAAAGTAAATAATAATAGAATTGTTAACCCAGTTCGGTGAACAACAACACCTAGGTCTGGGGGCTACCAAGCCAGATGAAATCGACTAGATAGTATTAATTCTAAGCTAAATTCCATCATTTATAACTTATCACTTAATCACTACCCGTGCTTAATTTCTACCTACGACTCTTACTAGGTATGGGACCCTTCTCAATTCTCTTTAAATCATAGCAATGACTGAAATTACAACTCAATATAAACTATCCAACTCTAGTATCAACACGAAACAAGAGATGCTCACAAAATACAAATCCTAAACTCACTAGGCAACAATGTATTTTTTCATCCTTTTCCTAGATTAAATCCATCATATTTATAACCATAAATAAGACTGGATTTGAGTTTCAAAAACGCAACAATTTTGTTTCACTGAATCTGCAACTAATTCTCCTCTAGAATAGTTTCTTCAATCCTAAGTTTCTTAAAGTGTCTCTACACTTAGAAACAACATCTTCAAATTACAATCAGAATCTCTGATTCCTCGATCTTGAGGCCACCTAGAAGAAACAAATAATCCCATAATAATCTGAAATCTGAAATAACATGATTAAAACGAAAAAGTAATAGACAAAGATGTCGAATAATCATGATAAGACATCTCATCCAACATCTTGATCTTCAGTTAGTTCTTCATGTTAGGACATGTTTTCCAACATCTTGTTGACAAGTTAGTTTTACCAAAATTGATGCCAACCTAAAAGGCTTGGACTCATCAATCGTCCCCTTTGGAAGATTTTGTCTAAAACTAACTAAAAGAAACTTGCAGACAGAAAACCACAGTCCAGGGCCAAGACACAGAACATCAGAACATCAGCAGCGGAAAAAACATCTTGCCTCCCCCTCAATCAGCTCCTTCTTCTGCAAGCAACAAATTAACATACTCCCCCTTAATGGTAGCAACAACAGTGGTCAACGGTTAGCAGACAGTGGTTGGTGAAGTTAATATTACTCCTCTTTTTTAGCCATAATATGACAAAGGCAGATAAACTAACTAAATATCCAAGCAATAACATAAAGTATTATAGTACAAAACAAGCATATAAGGTGCCAAAAAATAATCCTGGGCATTAAGCCCTTACATAACCACAAAAATAAGACAACATTCAGCAGCCATCTTCAGTTTCCTCGTCATCATCTTCCTCTTCTTCTTCCTCTCCAACAAGTTCATCATCAGCCTCAACTTCAGTATCTTCAGCATCGACGTCTTCATCTCCATCCTTATCATCATCATCAGTCCCACAACAACTTTAGTGCCATTGTCCTGCTCAGCTGTCAAGGCATGTATTAGCTGTCCAAGTCTAGCCTTCCTAGTTATATTGGACTTGATGATAGCATCCAGTTCCTTGTAAGTCTCTTTTAGTTGGGAAATAGTAAACTCCTTTGAAGTTGCAGGAACAGATGTTGAAGCAGATGTCGAAACAATTTCTGGGACATGACTCCCAGCAAACAACTTATAGTGCAATGTCAAAGAAGATGTAGAAACAAGCTTCATCTCAAAGTTTTGATGACGTCAACATCAAAATCAAGAATAATTCATCTGTGCAAAAAGGCAAACGCTTTCAAAAGGCCAAGATCAAAAGGAATGGAAGTGATCAACATTCAAAGCTTCATGAACATTGGACTGATCAACTCTCAAAGTTTTGGACACAAGCTATGGTATATCAAAATCCATTAATTTAATTGATATACAAGTGTTCAACATCTTTATCATTTGATCACATTGCATTAGCATACTTTTTAAACTATTAGAATTGGTATAACACTATTTTTATAAGCATTTTTCTGAAAAATAGCAGTGTTAACCGATTAACCATATAGGTTAACCGGTTAACCATTTCAAATTTTGAATATTTTGGTATAACGTTCAAGTGTTAACCGATTAACCATATAGGTTAACCGATTAACACTGAACGTATTTTGAAAAATGGCTTTGTTTCAAGTTCAAAAATGGTTTGAAAATTATACCAGTTCAAATTTTGAAATGTACTCAAATATACCTGTTGGAAAAGGTGTGTTTACACATATAAATTCTGAGTTTTTCAAATTGAAAAACATGCTCCAATAATCATTTTCAAAACAATTCTTTGAATCAAATTCACCACTTTCAAATACTTTTCAAATCTTTTCAAAAGTGTTCATATTGATCATATCTTTCATATGCATAGCATTGAACACTTGTGTTGAAATTAAATGAGTGAATTTTGATCAGAAGGAGAAGATCAATCTTAGCATTGATACTACCATTATTACTCTCAAATTAAAGTATTCAGATTACTTGTATTTTGACTTGTGATCTAGGTTTGTTGGACACAAGGGTGAGTGTTTACAAGAGGATTGTTCTTGTACACTTATTGATTTTTATTGTTTGATAGTAGGCCTCACCGGTTGATGGTGTGATAGGTTGTACTTTATTAAACAATAGTGAAAACTCTCTTTCGTGTTGAAAGGGGAGTGGAGTACTCTTGGATTGTGAGGGGAACCACTATAAATCTTGGTGTCCACTTTGTTTTCCTTCTACTGCATTCATCACCAAGAACCTAACCAGTAAAATTTCAAGAATACCGAAAAACCGAAAAAAGTCCCTAAAAGCCTAATTCACCCCCTCTTAGGCATACTCTGTACTTACAATTGGCATCAGAGCAGGTTAAGGTAACCTGTTCCTATCGATCCTAATGGCTTCCGCTAGTACTAACCCGGTTTTCAAAGATGGTGAAAGCAGTAACAAGCCACCACTCTTTTCTGGAGAATACTTCGACTTTTGGAAAATCCGTATGAAGGTACATCTTGAGGCTCAAGGAGATGGTATATGGGAAACCGTAGAAACTGGTCCACATGTTCCTATGAGCGTCATAAATAACGTAGGCACTCCAA